TATACCTTCAAAGAGGGAAATGACAAAGGGAAAGGGCCCATTTGTACAAAAACATTTATAGCAGAGCTTTTTTGTTGCAAAGAACTGGAAACAAAGTAAATGCTTATAAAATGGGGGTATGTTTGAACAAATTAGAGCATATGAATGTAAAAAAATACATATTCAGGGAAAAAAAGCTTGAAAGGGACAGATTCGGAGAAACCTGACAAGACTCGTATGAACTGATACAGAAAGAAGTGAGCAACACCAGGAGAACAATTTATCTAATTATTGTGGTGGGTGAAAGATAAAATTACTGAGGAAACAAGGGCCCAAACTTCTGAGCATATCAATTTATTAAACAATGCTTGCCAATGGCCTAACAAATCAGGACCAGGCCCCTCAGCTTTGGCACTGGACCTGAATGAAGAGGGAGACAGTTTTTTATGCATTAAAAATAATTGATCAAATAATACCAATGGATTCAAAGGAAAAATTAACCACAATACAAAATTAGAAAACTCCTTGCATCAGTCTTTGTATCTGACCAAGTTTGTGGTCAGCATAACCTAAGTCTTTAGTTAAGGGTCTCTAAGCAGCAGGTAGAGATGGTCCAGCTTCCCAGCCATGCAGGGCTGGCAATGCAATAAAGTTTTCTCACAATTCCCACAAGTGAACAAAGTTTTCTCACAAGACAGAAATTGGACTAGACCCCTTATTGAATAGAAAGGGAACTGAGCTAACTCCAGAATTAAGTCACAAGATAGAGTCAATGTGGTTCACTCAACTCCCACTAGCACTTGCTGTTCTAATTCTCTTAATTCCCCCTTTTGATTCATGGGGGAGAGGGCAGCCCCCTCCATCCCATGGATCACTTATCTATATGTCAAATCTGTATGGTTTTTCATATATTCATAATCAAAAATTACATAAGTTAGGCTACAGATCAAACTACTTAGAGGGCTCACAACAGACCAATTTTAAGAAGGGAGATTTACATGTCACCAGGGTAACAAAAAAAAAAACTATAAACTTAAACACCATGAAACAAAAGGCCAAAAGCAATACAATAGTTTCCTCAGTAATTTTATTAATAGCATCAAGTAATAGCATCAAGTCTCCCTGTATCCTAGTTGTTGTTGTTCAGTCATTTCAGTCATGCCCAAGTCTTTTGACCCCATTTGGGGTTTTCTTGGCAAATATACTGGCCATGTCCTTTCAGTTGAGGAAACTGAGGCAAACAGAGTTAAGTGACTTGCCCAGGGTCGCACAGCTCATAAGCGTCAGAGACCAAATTTGAACTCCGTTAGATGGGTGTCCCTGTCTCCAGGCCTGGCATGTCCACCGTGCTCACCTAACTGTAACCCACTCCCAACGTCCATTGAATCAACACGTTTTGAGTTCCCGATGTCTCAAGTAGTCAGTAGGTCCCTGAATATCTTCTATTGGACATTCTAGAACAGGTTCATTCTCAGAGCAAGGGGCTCTGAAAGGGGCTCTGCTTCTCTGGTTCCAAATCACTCCACAAGTTCCCCAGTCAATCCAAAGACCCCTTTATTATGCCTATTTTGCTAAGAAATCATATTGCTCAGATTGTTTCCTTAGTTATTAAGTAACTACCACATTACCAAGATAAGGGAAAATGACGCAGGAAGACTTAAGAACTATGATCAGAGCAATGACCCATCATTGCTTCAGAAGACTTATCATGAAGCATGTTTCCTATTCTGGACTAAAAAGACAATGGACTGAAGTGATAGTCTCCAATGTTTAGGCCCAAGAGGGAGGCTCCAAGGCATGAGTTTAACCAAATGGGGGTGGGAAGATGGGCTGGCAATTACTATCTTAGCCAATATGGGGCTTGTATCCAACACAATCACTCCTATCTTTCATCCATTATCCCCTAAACATACCCCGCCCTCCACTCTACATCTTCCCACTGCTATTTAAGCTCCCAATCTCCCCTCTTCTGCCCTAGACTATTAGTCAGTAGTAATAAACTGCTACCCAGGTGTCTACACCAGTTCATGTGCTTCTGGGAAAAAATTCTCCCTCCAATTCCAAAATAGCCATTCCCTGCCCTAAAGATAACCTCATGGTGGCAATAGGTGTCCTTCAGAGGATGGGCTCTGTACTCGAGGACAGTGATAGGTAAGGGCCCTATGCAACACCCCACTTCTACCTGGGCCTTTTTAATTTGAGGTGGTATTGAGGTACAAAACAACACACACACAAATAGTGTGTGTGTATAGATGTGTATATGTATATATGCATATGTATATGTACAATATATGGGAATATATATAATTTATAGGTGCATACTCAAAATTTTACAACTAATAGTGGTGTGCAATTTTTTTAAATGGGGGATGACTGGACTGGAGCTGCAGAATGAGATAGACATTTTCAGACATGCCCAACGTGTATATGTTTTGCTTGACTATGCCGATTTGGTCCAAGAGAGGGCTTCTATTTTTGTGAGAGTTGATCACTAGTGATAGTAATGCAAAAATAGAGAAAAGGGACATCAGTGAAACATTTAAAAAATAGAAGTGAAAGACTTAGCTCCTCTGATCCATGACAGCTCCAAGACTCATGATGAAAAAATGCTATTCACCTTCAGAGAGAGAACTGATGGATTCTGAGTACAGATTAAAGTATGCTTTTTTTCTCTTTCTTTTTCCTACTTTTTTTTTTGGCAACATGGCTAATCTGAAAAGATTTTGCATGATTTCACATGTATAATGGCTATTATATTGCTTGCCTTTTCATTGGGTGGGGAAGGAGCTGGAGAGAGCAAGAGAAGTTGAAACTGAAAGTGAATATTTTTAAAAAATACTCCCCAACTGCCAAGAAAAAAAATAGAAGTTCAGAAGGTGACACAGACAAGCAGGGTAGTTTTGTTACTATCCCTAAGATATCAGATTGTAAAACACGTTGTAAACCTTAAATCATTTTATAAATGTTAGTTATTAAGTGAAATTTAACATAAACCAAAAAAGAAACTCTAAAATACTTGTTTCCCATACAATCCTCTTTTTCTGTTCTTCAAATGTTGAAATATTAATGGGTTGGTGTTTAAATTCTATTATAAAAAGGGAAATGTACATATTTTAATAAAAAGGCTTTGTCCCAAGGTGGGGAAATTTAAAGGATGACGCTGACGGCACCTGTACTCATAAGCAGCTACAGACAACTGAGCTTAGAACATAGTAAGAACAATTAATGAAAATAAGAAGCTAGCAGATGACAAAGAGGCACGAGCAAATGGAATGACATTTGTAGAACACTTTGCAAACCTTAAAGGCTATATATCTGCTAGGTATTACCATTATTATGAAATCACTTTCTTTTTCCTTCCGCCTTCCAGGGTTACAGGTAGCACAGATGACCCCCTCCCCACCATTGTTACTCCCCTCTTCTCGCCCCCTTATCGATCCTCACTACAACCCTTTAAGTACTTTGTCAGACCTGGTCAGATCCTTTTGGCTTCCCCTGATTGGCATGCCAAACCCTCGAGTGGGTCTCTTAAAACACCAATAAAGCCAATGTTTTAGGAATCACTGGCCCTCTGACACATGACACTTACTAGCCATGTGACCCTGGGCAAGTCACTTAACCCCGATTGCCTCACCAAAAAGGCAAAAAAAAAAATCACTGGCCCAATTTGAGGGTGAAGTTCACTTCTTCTGAGTTCCCAACTCTTGAGCATGGACTGGGAGAGCAGAAGACCCGACTTAAACCCAGGCCCTCAGATCCCAAAGCCAATCTTTGTCCCACATCTCTCTTGCCTTCCATAGGGCTGTTTCCTCAAGTATTAAATGAAGGTAGCTTAGATGTTGTTTAGGGTCCTTTCCAGCTAACATCCCATGATTCAATCATTCCATTAGTCAATTCAGAAAGTATTTATTAGATGCATAATCTATGCCTGGCTATGGGCACTCTCTCTTTTCTAAGAATTGCACAAAGGCTAATGAGAGAAGGCCCAGGATAACTAGTTTGTTGCTCAGTAGACATGAGTCATGCCTTTGCTTTGGTCAAAAAGAAATTTTTCTTTTAGAAAAAAGAACAATCATGACTTCTTTAGAGTCAGAATTAGTAAACATTAAGTGCCAAGTAATGTATTAAGCTCTGGGAATAGCAAAAAAAAAAAAAAAAGAGGCTTAAGACACTCTCTGCTCTCCAAGAGCTCACAATCCAATGGTGGGGGAAAACAACACAGAAAAAGACCCAGTTCTGGGGCATGATGAAGTCCTGCAGCTGGAATGGGAAAATTATCTGAGGAGGTGTGAGTTGCAGTGTTGATTTCATCTGGCAGAATGGGGAGTTTCTGGATATCATGAAATCCAAGTGAAATACAAGGCTGCTTCTCCACTGGCAAAGTGAAATGTGTCACTCGGAAAATGCCAGCAAATTCAACACTTTCTGCCTAGGCCCTGGAGAGCATTCTGCAAACAATGTTGACCGATTTTAATATCTGGCAACAAAAGCTATCAGGCCCAGGGTGAAAAAGCTCTGCATTCTGTCCTTGGGGATGCCGTAATATGCTTAACTTGGCCAGTGAAGCAAGAACCAAAAAGTCGCTTAATTACTAAGGGGAAAAAAAAATGACTATAAATGGAAAATGACCTCCAGTGTGAAGAATCCAAGGTCTGTGAAGTCAGGGAAGCCCTTGAGTGGCAAATGAGAGCTTGGTTTGAGAAAGCACCCTGGTCTGGGGCTTGGACTTGGGGATGAATACAGTTCTTTAAGGATTATCCACGTGCTTTCTTTCAACAACCCAAAGAGTTGAATTGGTATTACTCCCATTTTATAGATGGAGAAAGAGAGATTCAGAGAAGGGAGTACACAGATCTATTAAGTTTCAGAGTGGGAACATGACCCAGGTCCTTACACTCTAAACCCAAGGCTCTTTCTACTACTCCATGCTATATCCCTTGATATGATAAACGATAAAAAATTAGCCCAAGATCAAAAGGAGTAAGAAGTATGAGTTCAAGAAATCTTTCACTCCCCAGTTATTCAAGTTGATCATCTTTATTACTCATATATCCAGATAATCCATTATACAAATCTTTCAAAATAACTAGATATTACAAGAATAGTTTACAACGTAGCTCTGATTGCACAAACACTCAACACAGGAAACCATTCTTACGAATACATTTGTTTTCTTTTAAGAATACTTTAATACAGAAAATAGGTCTTTGAACATCTTAGAGCACAGTTCAGTAATAATAGATTCCTTTCCTATTAGTTATGATAATGACTTATCATGTCTGATTTTCTAATGCCATTTAACACAGTACACGTCAAACATACCCAAAGTAGTACTGAGACAGTGCTTTTTGTCTCAGTGTCTTTCCGTCTTACTTCTCAAATACTGTTGAGTCTACAAAGTTCAAAGGACTTTAGGCCTTTTTTACTGATCTGAAAGAATTCAAGTATTCTCTTGACTAGGAGAGCTCATTTAAACAGTTTTCCTTCTGAAATCACCTAGTTTGAACGTTAAGGTATCTCACTAACCCTTAACTTGCAGCATTATCTTTTTCATTCTGATGCAGGTTAGAATATCTAGAATTTTATTTTATGCCCCCTGACTGGATAGAGTTTAAACTAGTGTTAAATACAAACATTAAGAAAGTTAATGTTCTTGACATCATTTGGAGCAAAGAACTACATTACATTCATTCAAGGTCTCCCCCAGGTTGAATATGAATATTAAAAAATAATAACAAAAATAAAGTATAGCGATGTGGCAGTAGTCTTGTAAAATATTGAAAGACTGAAAAGCTTAAATGCTGAGGTCAACATAGGGGGTTATTTATACCCAAGTCCAAATTGTTTTCATCAACAGGCTCTACTGACAGTTGAGTTCAGTATTTGGTAAACATTCCTTTCTAATGTTTGTAGCTATGAACAACCTTGCAAATAGCTACCTGCCCACAGCAAGCAACTATCTGTACCAGGCAAGCTGTAAAGAACACTGATTACACAAGGACCTATGGGGTGAATGAATATCAGTCGAGATTACATGTCTGGGACACCATTTGTTTCCTAGGCCACATGGAGTTTGCCTGGCCACATGAAAGAAGTATTCATTTGACAAGATTTTCTGATAACACTATTAAAACCAAGAGTCAGATAGTATCAGTTCTAAGCACCTACCTCAGTGACATACCACACTCTCAAAAAGTGCTTGTCTGTTAAGAAGTTAAACATTAATTCAGGAGTGGGATGCAGTATCACCATTTTTGAGTCATGTCTCCCCAAAAGTTTCTATTTTCACTCCAAAATAACAAGTTGCTACTGGGTCTCTTCCTGCAGCACTTAAGTTGGAAAAGCACAACTACTCTGCAATACGGCAAGCATTCAATCACATTGTACTGGGTCACATTTGCACAGATTTTTATTCCAGTGATTTTGCAAATTCAGCATAGTCAATGTAGCCGTCATTGTTCTTGTCATCATCCTTTAAAACATCATCTATTAAGTTCATCAGTTCTTCTTCCTTCATGGCTGGTGCCTGCTCCCCTCCTTCCTATGAAACATAATCATGAGTAGCACAGTCACGTTAGAGCCCAGGGGTGAAGGAAGGAGAGAGAGGTACGAAACTAATGCCCACAAAGGTCTGTCCCAAATATGATGAAAAGCACATTATGATGGCACCAGCAGCCAAGTGGATGATGAGAAAAAACCACATGGTAACCAGACTCCACTTAATCATTTATTTTATTCATTAGTGTGATTTCATCAGTGGAGGGAATTAGCAGATTGAGGCAAACTGGCAATTCATCTGAACATGGCTGAGATGGCCGCCAGGACCATGAAAAGTCTCACAAAAAATGGGGCTCAGAAACAGGGCTTAAACTTAGCTCTTCCTGGGCTCCCAGAATGGGCTCTCTATCCTCTCTGCTGTGCTGCCCCTCATTTAACAAAAATAATTCTTGGATACGGTTTAGAATTATCATTTACCAATAAAGAAAGCAGCAACAGCCTGACCAAGCCCTTATTTCAGAAAACTACTGGTACAGTATGAACTTTGCCCTGTCCCATAAATACAGCCTATAGCTCTGGCCTGAGGGCTGATGCAAGAGTTCCTGAGGTGGAGGGGGTGAATGATTTGGCACGAAACCCATGCCCACTACTGGGCAAACAACTCATAAAGGAAGCACCCCAGTGAGAGGAGGTTAGAGCGAGTCTGGTATGGACACCACAGTGACCCATTTCCAGGTGCTCACTTCACTTAGGTGAAGTATAGAAACCAGGGGGCCACAGA